CTTCCACATGAGAAGCTAGGATACTTTTATAAACTGACACTTATGTTGCTAAGAAGATACAAAGGGAACACATGTGTGGCCATTTTCAATTACTGGGAGGTAGGGAAGAAAGAGGGGCATCCAAGTTTGGTGAAAGCAGGAACTGGGGTGGGGACAGGGCTGGGGGCTGGGTGAGGTTGTTGCCTTTTTTTTTTTGTCCCTGTGTGAAACATCCTGAATCAGGGTATTTGGATAGGTTAGCAGAGACAGCACCTGAGACAGTAGGCCAGCCCCTTCCCTTCCTTTGCCCTTGTTTGGATACATTCTCATCTGAGAGTCCATGCAAGCAAAGGAAATAAAGTGTGCCCGCAGGGAATTGGCAGCTAGAGCTTGGCTGATGGAATGGAACATGGTAGCATGCTAGGCCCTGAGTTGAGGAAGACAGGAAGGCAGGGAGCCTAGGAGAGGAGACATGGGCTCCATTGGGAGATGGCAGGCAGGAACTGATGGCTCTCCAGGGTGGAGGTTCTGTTGCTAATAAGTAAGTAGGTGTGGGGAGAGGTGGGGAGAAAGGATGGTGAATGAATAGCGTTTGGTACTCTGTGGGCAGGGAGGCTCTTCTTAATCAAGCTTTGGGCTTACTGCCTACTAGGTAACACTTTCACTGCTGTGAAACCTTGGGGTGGAAGGCTGGGAGTGAGGAGGTAAGCAAGAGATTAAACTGAAAGGGAAAACAGCTCAAGAGGTCAGGGCCCTGGGCAGCACTGAGAGATGAGAGACTTGTTAGATGGGCTATGAGAACCAGAGCTTGAGTGAGGATCCAAACAGAACTTCAAGTAAGGGGTTAGAGTATCATAGAACTGAGGGTGTAGGCTTTGGTTGGGACCCATTCCCAGATCTTCAGCTTTTTGCACTGGCCCTGACCAGATAGACCTCTCTAATGTGTATGTTGCTAATTTGCTCCCAGTGGGATATAGAGGAAAAACTGAGCTATGGAACAGGCTTTGGTAATAACTGTTTAGCTCTTTGATGGCAAGGGGGGGTGGTGGAGACAAAATCCCTGGGAACTTTCTTTCCAACTCAGGGCTTTGCCCTTCCTTGTGGTAGGAGTATTTAATCAAGTTGTGGAGTTTGACAACCCCCACCCCCCAACACACACACACACACACACACACACACACACACACACACACTTAGGGGTTGTGGGATGCTTCTCTGTATTTTCCTCTTAGTTTTCTGTGCCTGAGAAGAGAATGTCCCAACTATTAGCTATTATTATTGTTTCTGGCTACAGGACAGCTTGGTATTAGGGATTGAAAGAGATGAGGCAAATCTTGGGGGGTTTGGGAAGAAAATTTGTGACCTCTCTATGGCTAGAATAGTAGGGAATTAGGCATAGACTGTAGGAAATAAATACTTAGGCCATTACCCTAGTGGCTCTGTCACTTGTGTGTGTGTGGTATACTTAAGAGGTGTGGGGCCTCTAGCAATCCTGTAGAAGTCCTTTTGTGTCTACTTCATTTTGTTTGGCTATAGAGAAGTGGACAAATAGATGCTATGTATATGTCCTACCAACCTGCTATAGTTGAGAGGTGAACGTGGTCAGAGGATGAGGCAATCTGTCCCATTATTTTAATAGGAACCCCAAATAGAGAAGGAAAAAGCAGCAAGAGGAAAAAGTGTATACTCAGTGCAGGTCCTGACATACTACAAGATAGGTAGAGTAACAGTATAAGAAGAGAGAGAGAGAGAGAGAGAGAGAGAGAGAGAGTGTGTGTGTGTGTGTGTGTGTGTGTGTGTATGTATATGTGTGGGTCTGTGTGTGTGTGTGTGTGTGTGTGTTGGGGAGGGGCAGGGTTGGGGTTTAAGGCCTTATTCCCTTGGGGTAGCTAAACATCCCATCATCTTAGCTCCACTGGATGTTGGGAGAGGAGAAAGGGAAGAGAGCGTTGTTTATCTTAGGTGAATATTCTGGGCTTTTGGAAAATGGAGGTTAGGTGCCAGGGGGAGGCCTGGGTAGCTGTAGGGTTGCTAGTGAAGGGCCAAGTACCAGAAAGAGGGTGGGAGTTGGCAGCTCCTGACCCCCAAAAAACCTAACAAAAACAAATAAAAAACACAAAGAACTAAATTGAGAAAAAGAGTGGCTATTCTGAGAGCTAAGTGCTGGGGGGTGGGGAGAGGGAGAGGAAGCAAGGGAGAGAGATTAGGCAGAAAGAACCATAGGAGCTTTGGAGTTATTTGGATCCAGCAGGAGGCGCTACAGGGACTAGGAGGAGTCCAGACATCTTCTCTGGGGAAGGGGAGGACTGTGAAATGTTCTTCCCCACCACAGCCCCCCCAGCAGAGCCCCTGACTATCTGCTTTTTAGACTGTAGTTCTTTACAATTTAAGCCAAATTGGAGCTGGGAGTCCCTGTGAGGCCAGACGGCTGTTGAGCTGTGGCTTCATTCCAGAGGCAATAATCTCAGGAGAGAGTCAGGCACGGAGGGGAGGAGGAGAGAAGGAGGGGTCCTATATAGCTCAGTCCTGACATACATCCATGTTTAGAGAACCTCCAAGGACAACCGATAGGAAGTGAAGGAAGAGAAAGCAATGAAAGTGGGCCACGTTGCAATGAGGTCCTTCCCGGGCCTCCGGGTGGGGTTCAGGTTATTGTCACGAGTCGGAGCTGGGGTGAGAGAAGGGAGTGGCGGTGCTGGGAGGATTATGGGGAGCAGGCTCAGCAGCAGATAATTGGATGATGGCTGAAGCAAGGATCAGGGCTGGGGGATTTACTGGCAACAGGGAAAATGGCATATGAAGAGTCAGCACATAGGAATTTTCTCTTCTTCCTTCCCTCCTTCTGCTCATCTCGGGGTGCTTGGTGGCTCTGTCCCTGTTGCCCCTTTACCTTATGCATGTCAGACTCTCGCTGTGTGCGCAGCCCCTAGCACTGGCGGGATGCCAGAGTGGGAAGCATTGCCAGAGCCTGGCTATTGTTAGCCTTCTGGATTGGTGATACATGAAAACAATTTGCTTCAAGGGATGAATAAAGGACCCAGAGTGAGGAGGGCAGACAGAAGAATTGCTGGACGCAGACGTGGAGGACCAGTGTTCAAATCCTAATCCAGCTATTCACCTCTCTGGGACTTATTTTCCTGGCTGTAAAATAAGAGGGTTAAAAAAAAAAAACAACTTCAAACGCCCCTTCCCTCTCTAAATCTATGATACTCCCATGAAATTTTGACTGCTTCCTTAGGGGATAGTCCCACGTATACATTCACCTGGTTTGTTTCCCCTTTAGAGAAGGAAAGAAAGAAATCCCTCGGGCCCCAAAGATCACAGTATAGAAAGCGGGGGCTACCATGGAGGATTTTTGAGTTGGGAGGGCCCCTGAACCATTCTTGGGGAGAGTGTCGGGGGTGGAGGGAAGGAATGAAGGCTTGAACTCCTGCCACAGTGTCTTTAGGTTGTGGTGTGTGCAGGTGAATTAACTTTCTGATGTGAGAGGTGGAGAAGAGGATCACAGAAGGGACCTCAGAAATCACCGAGTCTAAGCCCCATCTTTTGACAGATATTAGCGACTCAAGCCTAGAAATGTTAAATGGCTGGCTTAAGATGTCACAGTTAGGAAGCAGAGCCAGAAGGCAAGCTCAAGTCCTCTGACTCCAGATTCTTCGAGGAAAGGCTTCAAAGCCAGGAAGACTTGGGTTCAAGTTCCAACTTTGACACCAACTGACTGCATAACCTATGACCCTAGGCTAATCACCTAACTTCTTTAATTGGGTACATTATATGCAACACTGCACATCCACAGGCTACCCCCTATTCTAAAAAAGGATGGAGGTGTGTTTCTCATTACTTCTGAGGGCTGGGGTGGGGCAAGATTGGTTGTTATAACTGCATAATATTTATCTTTGTTTTATTGTTGTTTTTGTGTACATGGTTGTAGTTAGTAAGTGGCCAAAAGATATGAATAAACAAAAGAAGAATTACAAACTGTTAACCATATGAAAAACTGTTCTAAATGATTAATTAGAGAAATGTCAAATTAATACAGTTCTGAATTTTGACTTTGCTAACACCAAATTGGCACAGTTGAAATGAGATGGAAACAGTCAATGCTGGAGAGAAGACATACAAATACACTGTTGAAATGGTCCATTCTGGGAAACAATTTGGAATTATACATTATATGTATATGAATATGTTCATATCCTTTGATCCAGAAATCCCACTGTTGGGCATATGCTTCAAAGAGGCCAAGGACAGAAAGGGTTCATCTACACTCCAGTGTTTCTAACAGCTCTTTTTGTGGTAGCACACAGCTACCTAGAAATAAAGTAGATGCTCATTGATAGAGGAATGGCCAAACATCCTCATTTTATAGAGGAGAAATCTGAATTCCAGGGAGGTCAAGTGATTTGTCCTTAATCACTGAACAAATAGCAAAGTCAGCATTCAAATACATAGCTTGCTCTTTTTTTTTCTTTTAACAAACAGCCACTAGTTTATTTTAAAAGTTTTTCTGTTAAAAAGTGTAATTTTGCTAAATTTTATTTCCTTTTTTTGTAGAAGAAATTTAAAAAAAAGATAAAAACACTAAACTATGCACGTGATGTGACCAGATCCTCTTGAAAGTATTCCTCTTAATAGAAACTCTTTGTTTCTGAGTCTTGGTATGACTATTACCACACCTGCTTAGAATTTTCTTTTGAGTTCTTGTGACTATTATTAAGGCTTTGTTGAACGAAGTTAACGTTAACACACTGTCCAAAGTACCACAACAATGTCTGAAAGGAGACAACACTGGAGAGTTCTGTGTTATAATTCTTTTTCTAAACCCAGGACTCTTGTCCTTGATTCTTTTTTTTTTTTTTTTTTTTTTTTTTGCTTAAACCCAGGATTCTTGAGGCCATCTGTAGCAGAGGAAGGAGAGTTAGAAAGGATTGTGGGTTAAGAGCAGGCTGCTTCTCACCTGCACTTGTGCATTCTTTTCTAAGGGGCATTTTGATTCTTGTTTTTGTTTGTTTTTTCCTCAGCTCAGTACCAACGAGTCTCCAAAAGCCAACCAGGCATCCAGTCCAGAAGAAAAGGGTGAGTAGGATTGGACTGAGCAGTTTGTAGAGCAGTGGTATCAAAAGAATGTATATTGTTAGTGTAGAAACTCCTGCAGACAGCTGGGCACAGCATCCTAGGATACGTTAGGATTGGATTTGGCTACACCAGTGAATCACTGGTCTGTACCAAATGTGAGCAGGGCTTTGGATGAGCGAAAAGGCCAGAGCGACTACTCTTAAATTTTCTTTCTCAAGCTGTGTTCCCAAGGCCCAAAGGAGGAAACTTCTTTACCTATTAACTTTGAACACTCATTTTGGGATTAAATCAGGGAAGGAGCCAAAACTGTAGAGAGGAATAGATTGTTGAACTCCTGCCTCATCCATCAGTGCAGGAACTTAAAGGGAGGAGTCAGAAGACAAGGATGGTGCTTTTGGCCTTGTAGAAAGTAAGAGTCTGTAATGCCTGAAGCCCTTTGTCTTGAGGGTAGAGAGGCTCCTCCAGGAACTACAGACAATCTCCAATCCAAATACTTTGTTTAAATTCGTAAAGTAGTATCACTCAGGAAACTCTAGGCCTGGGAGGGGTAGGGAACCCTGGGGCCCAGGAAAATAGGGGATTTTAATGATCTGTTGGTTTCTGGAAGGGAAAAGGAAATGGCACTGGTAAACTCACCCAACGGTCCTCCTTACTGTCCGCAGAGAAAACGGATGCCAAGAAGGGTGAGGAAGAAGAAATTGATATTGATCTGACTGCACCCGAGACAGAGAAAGCCGCACTTGCCATTCAGGGCAAGTTCCGCCGGTTCCAGAAAAGGAAAAAAGATCCCAGCTCCTGAGCCACCAGCCTGAACCTTTGTCCTAGTTCCCCTTTCCCCTTGCACCCTTTTTCCATAGACCCTGATTCTTCTGTATTCTTCTGTTCCTATTTTCTCCACCCTGTCCCTGAGGCAGTATCAACCCTCAGAATTGCCTCTGCCTCAGCCATCAGGGTGGCATAGCTATAAGGGACTAGGGGAAGTAAAAGAATCCAGTTAACAGCCACTTAGACCTAAGAGTGAGCCAATCTCCACCCGGAGATAGTGATCCCCCTGCTTGGTGTCTAGGCCTTACATCAGAGATTAGGGGTGGCTCTGTTGGGAAACGACAGCCTGGAGGCTGAGTAATGGACCCACCCCACCTCCCGCCTCCGCAGGGATTGTCACCGTCAACCCAGCAGAAGAGATTGACATTGATTTGATGGCACCTGAGACAGAGAGAGAGCTGCAATTGCCATCCAGGACAGGTTTCGGAGCTACCAGAAAAAAAAAAAAAAAGAATTCCTCCTAAGCTGCCAGCCCTGCCTTTGTCTATTAGCACTTCCTCTACAGACCCTGAGCCCACGCATCCTGGTTTCTCTCTCCTGCTAACCTATCTGTGAGGAATAATCGTAAACCCTTGTAAGGTCCCCTGTCCCCATCATCATAGTAGCAAAGGTCGAAGGAACCCTAGGAAGCCGGTCTCTTCTGTGTGAATAGTGCTTCGTGGCAAGGTCTCGTGCCAGGGACCAGCGGCGGCTCACTGGGAGGCAGGGCAGGAGATGATAGACCCTTGGGCAGTTGAAGCAGAGCCAGGGCTTCAGAGAAGGGTGTTTGGGGGAGAGGAGGACACTTTTCCTTTCTATCACATGCTAAGCTTAGAATGTAGGTATCGTGGATCATCTTACAGCTCTCTGTGTCCCTATTCTCAGTTTCCCCTTATGAGCTGAGCCACAGCAGGGACTGGAGCCTCTCGTTTCCACATCCCCACTTCAAACTCTAAGAGCTTCTCACATTAGTGCATGCCGGGTAGATTAGAATTTCAGGGGAGGAACACTGGGAGTAGTAGAGGCAAAGAATTTTCTCCCATTTCCCACTACCTCTCCCACCTTTCCATTCTTCTAAGGCCAGGAAAATGAGAAGGGAGTTCAAGCAGCTCAAAGTTGAGGTGCAGGCAGGAAAACTGGGACTGGGACGGACTGAGGGTATAAGGATGTTGAGAGGCAGGAATGAAAGAGAAGCAATGAAGGCTTCCTGAAGCCTGGAGGTAATGCCCAGGTGAGTGCCCTCCTTGAAAACTACCCCTGGGCTCTGACTAGCCTCCCTGCCGATATGCCCTCCCGATAGCAGTGTCTTCACCTCTCCCCCAATCTCCACCTGCCCCACTGTGGAGGCAGGGCAGAAATGAACAGCCCTTCTCCCAAGGTTTTAGCATGTTCAATAAAAACCTCAAGTGAGTTTGTTTCTGTCTCTACTTTATCTGGGGGTAGAGTATGGAATTTGGGCCACGATGGCCACAGGGTGGCCGTGGGTGGAGTGTGGCCATCTGCGTGGAATCCAGGTGAGTGGTTTCCCATTGCTGTATCCCAAATGTGGATTCTGGCAGGAAGGCAAAATTGCTTCATTAGTTTTCAATGAGACCCTAATTCTCCTGTAAATCTCCTCCTACCTCTGCCATCCCACCCACCAACCTTGTCCTCACCTTGATTAACCTCTCAAGTTTCTTTGTCTGCTACTGTCACCTCCCCCGCCAGGCACCTGCTTTGCTCTCCCATGCCCTTCCCTCCCTCCTCTGAGCTCAGAAGTTAGTGCATACTCCTGTCTGAGAACAGACCTCAAATGAATTGTCCCCTACTCCTCCTCCCTTGTTATTTTAAATTGAAGGGGGAATGACATTACCAGGGGGTCAGAGGCAAAGGGAAGTCACACTGCAAATTTATTAGGACTCTATATAACAAAATTATAATAGACTGCAATTCAGCTTATAGTTGCTGCTTGATGATACACAGTGTGAAAAATCCAAAGCCCTGTTTAGCGAACCCTGCTTCAGGGAAGCCTGGCTCAGAGACAAGCTGATCATTCCATTCTCCTGATCTGTGATAGGCGTGAGTGGTCCTGGCTACTGTGATTAGCCTGTGTGTTAGAGATTGGCTTCTTTCCCTAGACTAGGCCTGGTCCTCCCGGGATTGAGTCCAATCAGCACCCTTTATTGGGTCCTCAATTAGGGGCTAGGGAAGCCCCACATCCTAGCATGTAGACACTGTAGGGACACATGGCAAATAGGAATGGAGAGAGAGGAGAGGTCCTACAGTCCACACCCAAAAGTTTACCTATATATCCTAGTACTGTAACTGCAAGATAACACCAGGATTCAGGACCAGCTAATGACTGATTCCTTCAGGTGCTGCCAGGGAAGAAAAGGCGGTAACAGATTTTGGGGAGCTCTGCTCTATGTCTCTTCTTTGTGTGCCATTGAAAGCACCATATTTGTTGTAGGCAGCTCAAACTCTATTTGAGATTTGGAGGGCACAGTGATAAAGAGAGTACCACTTGCTCCTGGCATTCTAGACAGAAGGATAAAAGACATGTCCTTGACATACCTGCCCCCCTTCCTATTTGCCTTATGGTCATTTCAGTGCCCCCTTCAATTATTCCCTGTCATGTCTGAAGTATGGGTAAAGCCTACTGCTGACACTTTAGGCCAGGCAGAAGACAGACACTAGTTGCTGATGTGACTCTTTGGGCTTTGAAGTGAAGATAGTATCCCTGTTGTTGTTGTAGGTTATTTTTGTCACCGTGGCATCTTCTGTTTCTGGTTCAGCTGATAAGAGATGGAGGCTGGAGGCTGGTTATTCCTACACGTCCCATTCAGGCACTGAAATAAAAGTGATGCTTACTGATTCCTGGAGGTATCCTTCCACAAGCACTATTGCCTGGAGGATGTTTGCTTGTTTGTTCTTTTTTTTTTTTTCTTTTGGCTAGGCAATGGGGTTAAGTGAGTTGTCCAGGGTCACACAGCTAGTAAGTGTCAAGTGTCTGAGGCCAGATTTGAACTCAGGTCCTCCTGACTTTAGGGCTGGTGCTCTAACCACTGTGAAACCTCGCTGCTTTTTTTTTTTTTTTTTTTTTGGCAAGGCAATTGAGGTTAAGTGAGTTGCCCAGAGTCATACAGAAGCTTGTTTGTTCTTTACCTCACTGCTCAGGAACATGCTGCTAGAGTTATCTGTCCTAGGGATCATTTTCAGTTCTTGGAAACCCATAAGTGTTGGTCCTTACCTTGTTCCTTTTTGTCAAGAGGGGCAAAGGTGGCTGCTGAAGTTTGTTTTTTTTCTTCATTTTCAATGGTTGCTCCTGCTGTTGGCCAAGGAGGCTTTCCACCTTTCCTTCAATCACTGGTAGCTCCTGCTGTCGGACTCAAGGCTATGACTCCTTTCTCTGCCCCACTGGTAGCTCCTGCTGTGAGTCCTGTGGCCTTGGGGGATCATCTTCCGGGTTCTCAGGTTCCAGGTGGTGGGTTTATCAAGAACTGTTAGATACTCAACACAATGGTGCTCTCCCAGGTAGGAGACTTGGCAGAAGAGACAGGTCTGCCATATGTGGAAACAGCATTGGCATTCATTTGGATTCTTGGATGAAAACAGCATCACATACTCACACAAAAACTGCGGTTGCCCCTTCAGGTGCTCTCAAGGTACACAGATGGCAACGTCACAGTCGTGACATGTACGAGGAGGGGCTGAGGCACAAGGCTATCATTTGTGCCGTGTGTATGGGCCCAAAGTCTGTTTCAGCTGGCAAAAATCTAAAAGCAGTCAAAGTTGGTGGTTGTGAAGGGTAGTTTTACAAGCAAAGGCACGGGGTGAGGGCAGTAGAGACAGGTGTATGGATATCCTCCTGATGGAGCATGCTTATTCTTGGTCACATTGGAGGGGGGTCAATGAAATCATGTCCACAGGTATAACAAGCATAAAGGGATCCTGAGCATGCAGCCATTCGTATCTTTGCATGGTGCTGTAGTTATTGGATTCATGATTACAGGGAAGACAACGGAACATGTAGGGTGGCTTGCTGGGACTCCGTTTTTTGGGCCGATTTGATCTTCTTTCTACAGTCTGCTGAAGAGGATTATCTTTCTCTTGGCCCCCACCTTGCTATAAAGCTACTTTCTTCCTCTTCTTCTACCTCCTGGGACTCTATCTCTACTGCTTCTGCCACTGGCACCCAACAGTTTCTTGGGCATTCTCTATGGAGGTGGCCACTTCTGTTCCTCTCTTGGTCTTTTTTCTTGGTCCTTCAAGCCTTTCTCTAATGTGCGTTCTTTCTGAGGCCTCTTCTGGGACTGCCCTCTATGGAATGCCCTCTATGCCCTCTATGCCTCCTCCTGACCACTATCCCCTTCCTCCTCCGGCTAGTCCTCAGCTGATCCACTTTCTGATCAGTTGGCTTCATCTTCTCCTCATCCTCATTACCAAATCTGTAGCACATAGGTTATCTCCTACTCCAGAAATGAAAGATTTGAGGATGGCAGGGGCCAGGCTCCAGTTTTCTGAAGCAAGAGGAATCAGACTTTGCTGGATGGAGCCAGAGTAATGCCTTTTGCTTGTTTTGTTGCTGGAGCGGTCACTATAAAAGTAGAGGAAGATTCTCAGTGTGCCAAATAGACAGCCAAACAGAGCCTCCCTCACTATATCCCTAGGCTCCCTGGACTATGGGTCCCTATCCCTCTCTTGGAGTGACTAGTCTCTTTCCCAGCCGCAAGGCATTCTTACCAGTACCAAGGACCCACATGACTCAAAGCCTCTCCCATTCTTCCTTAGCTTGGGTGATGATAGAGACTTGAGGTAGATGAGCTGCTAACAGATACAGCGTCCGGGGTCCCAGTCATTTGCTCCAGTGCCATGACATCACTGATCTACCCTACTTGCGTACCACTCTTTTGACACTTATCAGAGCTGGACCGGGATCCACAATTATTAGCTGAGTCCAAGGTCTAACTAATTCAGCCTTCGGTTGCCTTCAGGGAGTGGGTACAATTATTGGAAGTACAACCAATTTGGCTCTCATTTATTCACTGAACAAGAATTAAGTGCCTACTGTGAATGTACAAGGTTATTCTACTAGTTCTTTTTTTCTTTTCTTTTCTTTTGCAGCAATAGGGTTGAGTGACTTACTCAGGGTGACCTAGCTAGTGTCTGAGGTTGGATTTGAACTCAAGTCCTCCTGACTCCCGGCCAGTGCTCTATCCACTGTGCCACCTGGCTGCCCCTGTTCTACTGTTCTAAGGATACAAAGACAAAAACAAAAGTTCCCACCCTTTTGAGTTGGCATTCTACAGAGGAAATACAACATAGATGCCCTCTGCTTCTCCTCCAGCTCTCTCATTGATCAAACTCTGCCATTGTTCCTGGAAGAGATGTGTCTCTTATGGCCCCTCTCCCAGACCAAAGTGCCCCTTTCCAGACACCATTCTCCTATTAGAATATAAGCTTCTGGAGGTCAGGAATTGTCTTTGCTCTTGGTTTGTATCCCTAGTACTTAGCAGCTCTTGGCATATAGTACTTAAGAAAATGATTTTTCATTATTTTATCCATAGCAAGTGCATACAGTGTATATGCAAAGTAATTTCAAGTGGGAGAAAGTGCTAATAGGGAATCCAGAAAGGTCTGCCTGGTCTGTGGAAGGGTAGGTGGTAGGTTGTGGAACTGTCCGAAGCCCAGCTGGGAACCTGACTGAGGATTCTTGACAGGTCTTAAGGAAGATGAATTAAAACCCTGGAATAAAGGAATATAAGCGGTTGAAGCCCTGATGGGGGGGGTGGGCTCACCTCAGTCCCTGTCTCCCCAGAGCCTCTGCCCTGCTTGGATTTTCACACCCCTAACCATTATAAAGTTATCTGAAATGAGGAAATGGGTCTAGGAATGAGAATCCCAGTGTCTGGTCTCTATGGTTCAGTGGGTGAGGGCAAGGCCCAGCTCCCTCTGTGTGTGTGTGCTGGGACAGTGATGGGATGGATGGGTGGGAGGAGAAGTGTCACTATGGGGCTGGATGAGAAACGGGTCCATAAGCCAAAGGATAGTTATATACCAGCTGAGCTATCTGGACAAAGGGTAATGGAACTGAGGGAAGTGGAGGGGCTTCAGAGCCAAGTTACTCTGGGGGAGATTAAGTTCTCTCCCCTTTTCTAAATTCCCACTTCCCTCCACTATACTCCTATGACTTTCCTTACTACAGAATCTTCCCCTTACTCCTAACCTCGCTTCCCCAAGTCTGGATCTTTCGGAGACAGGGTTAGACTTGGAACCTTGTCACATTAGGGCACTAGCTCCTAGAGAAAAGGGGTTAAGTCTATTTATCTTTGGGTGACCCATCCAAGCCTGCTCAATTCCAGGCAAAATGGGAGGAAGGGTCTCGTTAGGGTGCTTAGTTCTTACACCAGGGTGAAAATCTGCTCAAAAGG